GGATCCCGTCCGCTCTCCCATAGTCAAGCCACTAACCGGCGGATTAGTAGTTGGGTCGGTGACGACCAGCGAATCCCCGCTGTTGTATGTTTTTGCCAATTACAGCATTTTTGCTACCCACATTGTCATCAATCGCTGCCTTGTTGGTGACCTAGCATTTTTGGTACCCTTTTGAATCTTAATTGATGAGCTTATTGACAAATTGTATTGACGGAGAGGAGTCGTGACTCTCTGAAATTGGCGGGTTCGTCATTAGTGTCACGCAGACTCGGATCTTGCACCAACCCCACTTCTGTTGGCCGTTCTATTGCCATCAACCTGCCTTGCACGCTTCCTATCGCCAACTGGAACTGTGCATTCTTGTTCACTTGAAAGCACCAATTCCCATTGCAGCTGGTAGTCACTGCGCGATAACAAGTCCCTTCTCTTGAGAACAATTGGCAGCCCTGGCGAATAATCTACCAAACAACGTCCAGGCGTACCTCGACGACTTAGTCAACCGTCTCATCGGCCACCTCGGTGACCAACTAGTCGGCTTATATCTCTTCGGCTCAGCCAGCTACGATGCATTCGAGCCCGGCCTCAGCGATCTCGACGTCCAAGCAACTGTCAAAACACCTCTCTCACCCACAGAAAAGCAAGCCATTATATCTCGTATAAATCAAGCATCCCTACCATGTCCCGCTACCAAGCTCGAATTTGTTGTCTACGCTCAACAATCAGTCAATCCAGCCAGTCGTCATCCACGATTTGAGCTCAACCTGAACACAGGACCTAGCCAGTCTGACCATGTCAGCCTCGACCCAGGACAGGAAGTAAGCCATTGGTTTCTCCTTGATATCGCGATTGGCCGCCAACTCGGCCGACGTCTTTATGGCCTACCCATCAACGAAGCGTTTGGTGAGATTCCGCGGTCGTGGATATTGGATGGAATGGCCAATTCACTCAAATGGCACCAAATGAATGAGGCCAATTCGGCGAACAGTGTTCTCAATGCTTGTCGAAGCTGGCAGTACATGGTAACTGGAGTGTTCTCGTCGAAAGTGAATGGGGGTAAATGGGCTTTGCAACAGGAAGAATGTCCAGATGTTGCCAGGAAGGCTCTGAGTGCGCGCAACACAGGAGAGAAATTGTCAGCGAATGGAATCTTGGAGTTGTATGATGTTGTGCTTAAGGTCAACCACGAAGAGCGACAGAAAGGATTTGTCTAACTTGCCACTTGTCGGTAGTCTTGATGCAGGGACGGGATGGAAAAGGTTCGTTTTCAGACAAAGACCTGAAATTGCTTTGCAAAAAAATAGACAACTAATCAATTCATTCTGCATGTCAACTATTATCTCGAATTGATTTCCACAAGTAGTTTATGTAAATCTATACAAATCTACTGACATCTAGAAAGCGTTTGTGGAATGCAGAATGGAGTAGGCAGCAAACAGACTAGCCTTCTTGTGTTGTAAGTTGAACCTTGCTCGCCACCAAGAAATCGGATGAATTCCGATCATCAATGTCGGTGTGGCTCAGTTGGTTAGAGCGTTGGTCTCATAGTGAAATCCTGTGATTTGGCCCTAGGTCAGAGTAATCCAAAGGTCGAGAGTTCGAGCCTCTCCACCGACATTCATTTTTGCCGATTCACCGTACAGTCAATATGACATGCATGCATGTGTTTGTCTGTCTTATCTCCATTTGTGGAAAGTAACGCATTGTTGTGTTGGTTGATCTTATGCCGGACCATTTCATTCTAATCTCATGTTGTTCATCACCTACCTTATGGCTAAGACACTATACGCGGCCGATCCATGTCATGTCCCTTTGGTGATCCTTCACGGCAGTTCTCGACTAAAACATGCCACTGCCGCAGTGATAGAACTTAATGACGTATGGTTACTACTGGATACTACCCCGGATAATGGAAACCACAACTTGCTTTCTACCGTCTAATTAAAACATTATTCCTTCATAATCGTGGCTCGGCCAGTTGAAACAATTGTGCCCTGAGCGCCAGGCGGAAGTGGAGCCAGTTTCCCCACGAAAGGATCTTGGGATCAGCGCTGGAGTTACACCACGAGCACGGTCCTAGATCCTTCGAGGCGGAGTATCGCGAACAATGCCTTGCGAGTAAGATGATCAATCCTGTGAAGAGATGAAAATTGGGCCTTGAAAGCTTTGATAAACTTGGAGATGAAAAGGTATATAAGCTGTTGGTCTTTACTGGCATTTAGATTGTCATTAAGCTTAACTTACGTACTATCTGAACAACCAGGATCTTCACCACTACTCCTATCAAATATTCACAATGCGTTTCTCCATCGCTTCTTCTCTCGCTGTCCTTGCGACTATCTCCAACGTCTCGGCATGGCACCGTAAGCCCACCTCCCCAGACAAAACTCAGCACGTCTACTAACCTCACAGTCACCGCCTACACCAACGTTCTCGACTGCAACCCCAACGACGAAACAGGATACCAGATCCTCGAAGGCAACCAAGGCAACTGCTACACCTTCGGCTGGAGCATGCCCGGCGTCAGCTGCGCGCACTACACGAGTGGCGGCATAGACAACCAGGGCTGCAAGGGCCTTTTCGAAGCGATTGCCATGTATGCTCACGAAAACACTAACTGCGAGTTCTTTGCTCGCGATGATTGTCGTGGTGTCGGTGCTGTGAGGGATGCTGAGACTTGTGTTAATAACCTTGAGATGTTGGAGACTTCGGGAACTGAGAGAATTCGTTCTTTCAAATGTGTAAGTGTTTTTGGTCATGATGGTTGGAAATTTGCTAATGTACATAACAGGCCAACACCGAATGAGGTAGAGATGAGAACCGGGTTTATAGAGGGAACCGGCAGATATTTATCCAGCGATGAGCGTATTGGCTTCATATTAAATAAACTCAATTGCAAAGACTTCAATCACTTGAGTTGAAAGTGAAAGTTAATTTTATACTAGTGTATTAAAACAGTAAACAATGGTATCTATAGCGCCGAGTCTTTATCTCCCCGCTATCCCAACCAATCCATCAATCATTAACATTACCATCCCAAATTCCAACCATATCTATAGCCAAGCTTTTCTCCATCTCTAGACTTATATGTCAAGTCTCTCAGTTCTTCTCATAGGAGGTTCGGGCACTCGATGAAGTCGAGTAGATAGTCTTGGCAGCAGCAGCGCGAGGAGTAAGCGCTTGTGGTTGAGGGTAATAGGTGTTGACTGCAGCGTTGACAGATCGGTGGTGCTCCTTGGCGTGCTGGACGATGGCGGACCAGATCTTCTGGGCGTTGTTCTTGGTGGACTCCATTGTGATTTGGGTGAAGTTGTTGAAAGTGGTAGTTTGTGTGAGTGGTAGTAGAAGCGTAATGCTTGATAGTGATGAAGTTGTTTTTTGTTGTTTCTTGTGATTGAATGTTTGAAGGCTTTGTAGCTGTCTTGATTGTATTGAATTGCTTGATGATAAAATTTTCTTCAACTCGACGGCCTCACCCCTTATATACAAATTTCAATGCATCCAAAATCCAGTCACTTACGCCCATTCCGCGCCCATTAAAAATTGTCAGAGTCACACTCAGCCCTACACTTGACAAGTAAAAGTCAATTACCATTATTCATCCCAACCGTACACAATTTCTCTTTTGGGTGTGCTTAGACGAGCGACGGCTGACGAATTAGTGCGTGACTCAATTGGTGGCTTGACACAAGGGCGCGCATGCAGGGCAGTTATGACATGCTGGGTTTATAAGCGACCGATGTCGGTGAGACTTTTTGTAAGCAGGGTGTTTTTTATTGGTTGTTTTGAACGCCCTTTTTGAAGTCGTGAGTTGTTTTATTGGATGGGCGTATTGGTGGTATTATTAGATTGGTATGACACCATGGCGTATTACTGTGGTGATATTCTTTGTTGTCTTATACACTAACAATTAATGTCTGAGCTGGTCTCACGCGAGACAACCAGCTTACTCAATCTCTACAAAATCCATACTCCAACCTCTCTTCCCTTTTGAGTAAATCTCAACACAAAAGCTTTTCCCTCTTTCCTCATCCTCATCATCCTCGTCAACCATCCTCGTTTTAATTACCGTCCAACCCGCTCTCGATCCTTGTCCATTATACTCTCTATCTAAATACGCAATCAATCTTTGAACGCGTTCTATATCCCATATTCCCTCTCGTGTATCAGGACGCGATCCAATCCACTTTCTGATCCAATTGGCCGTGGCCTCATCAGCCATGTGATATGCGTCTAGCATTGCAGGGAGCATGCCATGGCCGTAATTATTAACGCTGACGCAAAGTGTGTAAGGCAGTCCTAGGGTTAACCGGCAGATTTTGCGGATTGTGGAGGATGATTCTGCGGGGGATATCCGGGGACTCGTGTACATCATGTCTACCCGGAGGCTTATGACAAGAAAGTGTGCGTAGTTTGTAGCTGCTCTGACAGGCTCGTGAGAAGTTAATATTGTGAGCGGTTTGATGTCGACATCATTCCCCTCAGTAACATCATCATCTCCAAAATCTGGGACTTCTTCTGGAGGTAAATTTCGTCTCCAGTCTTCAAGTTCTAACCTCAACTTGTCAACCCGCGCATCCCAGCTTGCGTCTGGTCTCAGATTCGCTCTCCACTCGTCTTCCAAGGCATTAACACGTGGACCTATGTAGAGCTGGCGATCATATGGCAGGTTCGATGAAGCAAGGAGTTCAATCAAAGTATTTGAGACTTCAGGTGAGATAGCCTGTTTCTGTATCGAATGCGTTCGATCGTAAATCACCAGCAAAGCGGCTATTCGCGAAAACGCACGGACAAGCGATTCACCAATATCTGTAGCCCGTACAAGGTCAAGATGTGTTGAGAGAAAGTCGACAGCTGCCCGACCGTGAACACACCATAATCTCATCTGTCCACGTTTTAGTTCGAAATGAGCTAGGATCAAAACTGTGCTCAACCACGAAACCGCATTTTGACGTTTACTCTGGTTGTTTGCATTTCCTGGTGTGTTGATATCCTCTACTTCAATCTTGCCAATATCGCCGAGGGCTAAGACGAAATGTTCTAGTGCATGTATCGACGCTTGATTTCGAAGATGAACATGTGCGTCGGATTTTGATATCTTGAGCGCTGATAGTGCCAGCGCAGCATGGTAGAAAGACCCGTTCAGGTACTCTGCTTCAAGGATATCGTTGAGATACAAGACTGACAGGACTCCGTAGGGCCCCGTATCGCGAAGGTGATGATAGTATAGCATATCCTCTGGAAACTTCATACTTTCGAAAAGACCTCGTGGTATCATGGGAGCCACCCTGATGCCAAAGAACCCATCTGTACCAGGTGGCTCTGGCATGCCTTCCTGGTGAACAAACTGAGGCGATGAAAAGGTTGGGCCAGAATAGCCCATGGGCGTATGGGAGATTGGCCGAGGCGTAATCGCCGGCGATGCCATATACGGTGAGGGTCCATGATAGCCGCTCGTCGGTGTATTGGCGGATGTGTCCAGGACAGTACTGTCGATAATTCCAGTACCCCAACCAGGCGAAGTCTCGGGCACCGAAGCATGAAGTATGTTATGAGGTTGGTTGACATGGTAGAGTGGAGGTTGAGTCTCGATAGCATCTCTCTCCAACTCGGGAGGAGGTTCGAGGTATTCCTGAACAGAACTTTCATCTTCCGGTACGGTGAAGCTATCGTCGACATCATCGTTCTGTTCTTCCAAGTTGACAGTTGATTCTGAGTCGCCCAATCTCTGACCCGACCTCGTCCGTCGTGGTGAGTCACTGTTGAACAGCTTGTTCTGATCTTTGAAGATGATTCTAGGCACGTACCCGCCACATGGTATGCTCAACTTGGTGCACTATGCGGAGTCAATAACTTGTGCCAACACAATGTCTAGCCTGTCTCGATCAAACGCACGTTATTGCACTCAGGCTTCTTCTCATCACATTTCAACCGCCTAGCTCGGCACGTGGAACAGCCATTTCGATTGCGGGTCTTGACGTTCCGTCTTCTCACGACGCGGTCTGGCATGGCGTCGCGATGTCGATGACTATTTTCGTATGTAAACAGCGAAAAAGAACGATGGCTCGATGATGTGGATTTGTCAGAGACATGTCGTATCGAGTTACCTTTTTGAGAAGAGTTGAACGAGCGGGGAAGTTCGATTGCATCATGATGAGTGCTCGGTGTAGGGCGTAGCGCTAGACCAGATTTGGTAATTTTGTCTTTGCTTTCTGTAGGGTTGGATTGACGAGGTGACGAGTTGACAACTAAGGGTTGAATAGACAAGTGACAAACAAGAATTGAGGTCATACCGGTGAGAGATTCTTGCTCGGACTTACTACATCTGATCTTCAACGGAATCGCGTTTCTGTTGAGGCCAACTCACTTCCATTTGGGTCAAAAGAAAACTTGACGTTAACATGCACCTTTACGAGAACGACCAGCCAAATATTTCCCTACGGTCTCTCATCAAAGCAGCAACTGCTTGTACCATACAACCAAGATGAGAGAATATGATAGAAAGTTGTCAGTCACGTCCAACGTCGTGGGACGTCAGAATAATCTTCTCGAATCTTTGATCCATTAACATCGGGAGCACCGCACCCGCATACACGACGTCTGCTCCCCACAATGGCGCGCCGCTTGGCGATTCCCGAAATAGGAAATATAAACGACGAGAAAAATGGAAAAGAGCTATTTTCCCGTTTAATATCCAGGTCTCCTTGCTCAAGAATCTATCGTTCACTTGCGATATCCATTCTTGTTCCTGCTCAGTAGTCGAGTTACGGGCTGATGACCTGATTGATTCTTTGCCATTTCCAGTCATCATGGAAAACGTCAAACCAGTGACAGAGCCTCCCGGGGTTTTGGTGGATGAAAAGGACACTTCGGTCAACTCCACCGAAACCAGCAAGACTATCATCACTTTTGAGAAGGATGACCCAGAGAACCCATACAATTGGTCCAAGGTAAGCCAATCCGATTTAGCAAATGGTCATGTACTAACATTCCTCAGAACAAGAAGCTGTTCGTGCTGTTCACCGCAACAATGACTCTTTTCAACGGCACATTAGCATCATCCCTCCCCGCCAACGTAACCGCTCCCATGAGCGCGGCATACGGGGTAGACAACACTCAAGGCAATCCCGAACTAGCCCTTCCAATCTCTCTCTTTCTCGTCGGCTATCTCTTCGGCCCATTGGTCTTCGGACCCCTCTCCGAGCTGGAGGGCAGAAGATACGTTGTCCAAGCCGCCTTTGCAGGATATACTATCTTCACGCTCGCTTGTGCCTTGGCTCCAAACTGGGCTTCAATGCTTGTGTTCAGACTTATGGCTGGTATCTTTGCCAGCGCACCTACTGCTATTGGTGGCGGCATGATGGCTGATATTTATGCGGATTTGAAAACACGAGGAAGAGCCCTGACGTGCTTTTACTCTGTGAGCATTTGCGGCCCTCTCATCGCCCCTACGATAGCGGGTTATGTGTCCGAAGTTTCATGGAGATGGGCTTTCTGGGTCGGTCTGATCGTTGCTGGTGCGACGATCCCACCGCTAGCATTTCTGCCAGAGACTTTCGGCCCTACGATCCTTGCGCGACGAGCGAAGAAGATTCGAAAAGACGCCTCAAAAACAGGAAACGCCAATGTCGAAACTTACGCGGCAATCGAACTCGAAGCAAAAGGCTGGAGGAATCTAATGAGCGTCGTCCTGGTCCGCCCAGTCCAGATGCTTTTCACAGAGCTCATTGTCGCCGCATCAAGTTTCTACATCGCCTTAGCATACAGCATTTACTACATGTTCTTCCAAACGTACCCCATCGTCTTCAAGGGTATTTACGGAATGTCCACCAAGATCAGTGGTTTCATGTACTTCCCCATCGCAGCTGGTGTCTTCCTTGGAATGGCCATCTTTTTACTTTGGGATGCATACTACACGAAATGCAAGAAAGCTGGTCGACCCTGGGCTCAGAAGACGGAGTTTAGCAGACTTCCCTTAGCATGCATTGGTGGTCCTCTCTTGGTTATCTCAATGTTCTGGCTCGGCTGGACTGCGCGGCCGAGTATTTCCTGGATATCGCCTATGATGGCCGGCGTTCCCTTTGGAACAGCTCAGATCCTCATCAGCATGTCACTCACGAACTACTTGGGCGACTGTTATGGCGTTTACTCCGCTTCAGCGATGGCCATCGGTTCATGTCTTCGAAATCTTGCAGCAGCAGGACTTTGTCTCGCTGCAGCGCCAATGTATACTGCTCTCAGTGTCGGATGGGCTTCGACTCTGCTTGGAATTGTTAGCGTGTTTATGTGCGCGATTCCGTTCGTGTTTATTAGGTATGGGGAGTATATTCGGGAGAAAAGTGTGTTTTATCAAAAATTGAAGAAGGATGAGGCGATATCGAGAGGGGATTTGGAAAGTGATGGAGATGAGGCGGAACGAGAAACACGATAGACAAAGAGTAATGACGAGCGAAAAGAGTTATCATGAGAAGGAAGAATAGAACAATTAGATTCCTCAATGATCAATTCTAGACCGTTGCAATCGCTTCACTCGAGCCTGGACTTAGCGCCGAGATGTCCCTGGAGCATGGGTACCCCTGCCAAGAAATCGGTCTCAGCCTCTTCTCACTGGTCAGAATACCCAGTTTCACTATTCTTAGTGGACTTGCACACCAAACTGTCGTCTCATTGCTCAAATTATCAGGTCCCGTTGAAGGATCTCATTCCTTGTACAAAGAATAAGCACTAACCCTCAGGATTGAATGTTTTGATCCCCTTAACTTCTGGGCGCGTTCATTTTTCTGTAGGGCTGACTTTCTGTTTTCTTCTCATCCACGAAAATGCCTTGTCGCTTGGCTTAGAATTTCTTGCTGAGCAATTGACCGCAGAGTGGTCTCGCGACCGAAATGGCGATCTTCATCCAACCTCTGACGTATCAGAGTCAGAACGTCACCATTTCAGATTGGATCGGTGTCCTGACTCTATGTCTTGCTCCTCTTGTCGCTCACGTTCTCATCGGCGCGCCTTCACCGACGTACCTCTCCCTCAGTCGTCCGCCGTGGCACGAGAGAGTTTGCCATTACAATCCGACGTCTATCCTATGGCGATACGCTATGGTCGCTGATCGCCGACTGAGGGCCAAGAACTGGGATAGAATCGATCTAGCCGCTACGAATGCTCTGTTCTGGACGGATCAAGGATGGGATGGAACCGAGGAAATTATTCAGTACGCTCGTCCGCGCTGTGTCCAGCTTCCGGACGATGATAGAGTAACTCTGCTCTCTCGCGATGCCTTCAAGACTCTTATCATCACCGTTCAAGGAATCCAGGCTATCATTCTATTGCTGAGTAGTCAGATCGATCCTGGCTCACCCGGTTTTACCATCTTCATGGGCGTCGACATTATCTTCTTCCCGGTGGCACTCTTCGGCCTGCTACGCCTCTGCAGTTGCATTTGGCTCACCGACGAGTTCTCTTTCGCATCTATGGATGATGTTCCTTTGGGTACACCCCAGATGATTGAGTGCAGCAGCGCCACATTCGAGCTTCTGTCTACCAACCCCACACTATCCGGTCCGCAACGATTCCGCAACCCTTCGTTCTGGGGTAGCAGACTATTTCGATTGACATACCTATTGGCTCTGCTTGGACTACTCATCCTCGGGTTGTCGTTCATCGTAACGATCAGAGGCCCGATATTCTACACCTTCACTGTCTTCACCGTTTTGCTCTTCTACATATTCCTCCTCGGCATGACGGCCCTCATATCGATATGGTACCTCGGTATTAAGAATTCAAGGTCTACCGTCATCCCAAGCATCTCATCTTTCTGGTACAAGTTCTACACAGGGCTTGTTTTCGGCTTCGGGATCGCAATTATCGTCATTGCATGTATCGAGACACGCAAGACTCCCTGTGGAAAGTTCACGAGTGGTGTCGGTTGGCAGGCAGATGCCATGGCATGCATGGGTAATGCATTTGACAAACAGGAAACGAGGCAGATGGTCGATGGACCATATAACGGAACGGCTTATTATGGGTTTATGCACGCGAAGAACTCTAGTTTCGTGCAGGCTAGCTATATCGACGAGGAACACAACAGGTTCAACTTTACCAGGATGTGCTTTAGTAGCATTTATGGGGTCTAAGATGAATAGCAGAGGTTATAATCGAGTTGACACAAAACATAGCCTCTATGTAGGAAAAATATACCTAATTATAATTACGACCATTGCAGCTAATTCCTTTTCTTGGACCAGTTTGACAAGTCATAACTGTCGTCATGTGTAACCCATTTCAACCGTACAGCCACTGCCTCATTTCTGTCTCATGCATGTCAGTCAAATGATATGACTAGAATAAGCACAACGCCAATCAACAGTACGCCTTGTGAAATGCCCAACAGATTCGCTGACGCAGAGCCTGATTTTACCCCGCGCAAGCAATTTCTACCTCTACAATCTTCAGCTCCACCACTTGAATCTTTAATTCTCCCATCATCATCCAGACCCCTACTCAGCTCTTGCCACCATGTCGGATCCGCTCTCTGTGGCGGGTACCGCCGTTGGCATCACATCGCTCGGTATACAGGTATGCCAAGGCCTCATCCAGTATCTTAGGGCAGTGAGGGGCAGGAAAGAAGACATACGAGACGGTATTCGGGATATTGAACAAGTCGTATCGTTACTTTACAGCCTGAACAGCCTCCTCCCCAAAATGAACCCTGAAACGGACAAGGCGCCACTCCAACGCTGTCTCAACAACTGTTACGGGAAACTTGAAACCCTACAAGAAGTCCTAGGCGAGCTCGACGACGACAAGCACTCAAATAAAGTCACAAGAAGAGCAGCGAACGCGATGCGATCGGTTACGTACCCTTTCCAGCAAGAGAAGCTGACAGCAATTCGTCAATCCCTACGATCGGTGCTCGATGATCTGAACTTGATCCTTTCCATCATATCACTGTAACGACCGACGGAGCTCTTGTTACCGGTCGCCTTTTGACTAACCATGTCTCATAGGGATTCTGAAGCTACCATCCAAAGCACAGTTAGCACCATATCGCTCGATCTTAGAGCCCATGCATCGACTCATGCTGGCGACATATCGGATCTGCAAATACAGGTAGATAGCAATTTTTTGCAGCTTCGATCTCTACAGAGCACCATATCAGACACGCTTGACGATATCGCAGAGCAGCTCCATAAAACCCACTTATATATCCAAGACCTCGATCAAAGAGTTGATGGAAAATTGACGATCATTGAGTCTGGCACGCAGTCAATCGAAGCCAGCAGTCAGGTTACCGTCGCCAGATTGGAGGAGATTACAAAAGCCTTAGCATCACAGTCAAGATTGATGGAGAATATGGTACGATGTCGCTTAAACCTTTCATATGTGGCCATACTAACTCTTCCACAAAGAGTCTGCAGATCATGGGCATTCAAAGCCTGCCAAATACTGACTTTGCAACGGCTGAACAAAACGCGACCTTCCATGAAAAACCCAGCAAGGCTTTGTATAAGCAGTCCACCAATACGAGCCTCTGGCGAAGCTGCCGTTGCGCGACTCGTATTCCTAGGTCTAAAACCTTTTTCAGTTTCTGGAATATGAAATTTGAGCTCGAACAACAAGAACATCACCTCCCATCGTGCAAGTTGTGGGGGACGAAAAAAGGCATGAAAAGAACTGCCAAAGCAACTTTCCCTCTGAAGCTAGCTTGGCTGTCTGCTCGGACCACACTTGCCTGTTTCCAATATGCCACAGGCACTAGTCAGCCAAGCATTTCGATAAGATACACGAATATCGTTGAGCGAAGGAATAGTCCGGTTTACCGTCTATTTAACAAGTTTGCAAAGGACATGGAAATGAGAAACAGTGTGAACCAGGTGATTCGCAAGATCGAATTATTGGAACGAGAAATCCTAACGCTATACACCTGTGGCCGGGCCTCACCAGGCGACGTAGATCAACTCGGTTTCACACACGCTGAGGTGAAGGTTCGAGCAGCTAAGACCATGCATACAACTAACTGCTTCCAGGTTGTGTTTGACGAGGTTCTCTGTGGCTGGAATTTACCTTCGGTTTCCAGAGATAACGCACTCACCCACACACTTCTTAGCTGCATCCGAACATTACTACGAGCCTGTAATAGTGATAAGGATCATTTGTAAGCCAAGTGTTGAAGAGAACTGTGGCTCTTAGATGATTTGTTAACTCAAAGTGTGTTTTGATAGCTATTTTTCTGCAACGCTCACTCGCTTCCGATCAAACTCTGACACTTTTCAACACGATACCATTGATACGAGGTACCTTCTATCTTTCTTGTCTCAAGAAGCTTGTTTCAGCTTCTCAAGAACAGTAATTGATGATATCTCTCAAGGTGAGCCCTCGGATTCGCTCAAAGCGGTAATACGAGATAGTCAGTTGCCCTGCGGCCTTTTGGTCAACCAGATGAGGCACCTTCTTTCATACTGACTTCTCCTGGAACTGTAGCGTGGGAGATTTCCGATATCGCAAAGGCTATCCTTTCGAGGAATATAGACGATCTTAAATTGTGTCTTACACAAGATCCCGAGTCTGTGCTTGAAAGTATCCGTGATATCAACGTCCTCTACCTATCTGCTGCATGGCCAGAAGGCTTGAGGTACCTACTTACGACCGAAGCGATTACCTTCATTGACGATAATGTCGAAATTGGAAGATTTAACTTAACGCTTGTATCGAGGGCTATAGATCGCGACCAGGCTGAATCAGTTGATCTACTGCTGGGGGCGGGATGCTACCTCGAATTGGAACATTCGACGTTTTCCATCTTCTCATCAGACCAGCTGGCCTTAATTGTAGCTGCTCACCTTTCTGAAAGAAGACTTCGGCTTTTGGCATTCGTACAGCGACAGCTTGGACTTTTTTTAGGCCAAACGTCAGTGGCCTTTGCCGACTCTGCGGCAGCTGAAATGTGCGCTGCTTTAGATGCAGCCGGGGTGAAGTTACACCCGAGCTTACGAGTTGAGCCCAATTACCGATCCGTCTATCTTCAAGGTCCCATTGCTTTGCATATGTTCAGTCATTTCTGGGAAAAAGGGTTCCATCACTTCAAAAGCCGTAACCTGATCGGTTTCACACCTGCCGTTACCAAACAGTCTTGTTTGGAGGCAATCTTAATATTGAGAAACATGAAGGACTTGGTAGAAGCAATGGAATGGCTTGTGAAGAAGGGCTTCATGCAGGAGAAGACCAAAGACCCGCTGGACTTGGGTCTAAATACAAATGCTACAGGCTACCACTATCTTGGAGCTTTGCTTGCTCATTCCGTAAGTTGGGGAGGTGATTGCCATGACTTTCTTTACCCAAAACGCAGAGCCTTGGATGACCTGTTAGCGAGGCAGGACCACGAAGATGACTGCATGTGCTGGTGTAACCCCGACAATTATGGATGTTCTCCATTAAAGCTTTTTCTGATAACCTATGTCAATCTTGTTCCAACAAGTGAGCATGGCGCAGGCTTCTCCCGACACGTGGTACTACACCGCAAGTTGTTCGATCCCATGTCTCTGGGGGATACAATCTCCCATCGGATCAAAGGGACTCTGCGCCTTCTCACATTCGAGGCTCTCGAGATGACTCACACATGTTGCTCTTTTGATGAGATTCACGAACACGATCATTCTGGTCTTGTGCCAGTGAAGATGTTGGGGGACAAAGGGATCTTCTGCCACGATCCTGTTAGCGTGTCGATAATCCGTTCTTCTGCGGAAGAACAGTCAACAGCTGCACTTCTCGAGGAACTGATGGTAGAGTTCACAGAAAAGCTATCCCGTCTCACTGCAGGTGTGCGGACGTTCGAGGAGTTTATTTTTACACATTGGCGTCGGCGTATATCGCAACTATATGCCCCAGACCCCAACGTTGTGGAGGATCTCCTGCAGCACCAGACATTCCAAGGACTCGGACTCTCTCGATCAGTAAAAACACGTGAGTATTCTACCGAACGAAAAAAAAGAAAACATTATTGATAGTTGCTAGGCGTACTGCCAGAGACGCTGCAACGCTTACTTGGTGAGGATTTCCTCTTGACCGACCGTCTGGACAAGCCGATCCCATTGGAAGGATGTGCATCTGAAATGGCAGAATACGAGAAGCCCTACTGTCCATGGTGTAACAAGAGCAACAGATAGTGTTGAAATGAGGAAGAATAAGAAAAGGTATGTGCTTGCAATAAGCCAGGATGGCTAGAAACAGGAAGTTAACATCTGGTTCACCATTCTTAAGAGCGACTATGGTATGAAGAAACTCAAGCGCAGCATCAACGATTGACATCGACAACCTGGTTCATGCTCAATGATGCGATTAATCCTAAAACCTAATGTTGCATATAGAACAGACCATTTTCTACTTAGCAATCTAATCGCGGGCGCCGAGGTCCCACAAACTAACTCTGGAAGCGACTATCTGGTTTCGTCTTAGTGAATCACGATATGTAACACATTGCCTTCATCATGGGTAAAATGTGAGGTTTCTTTACAGTCAAGAATCCTGCTCTTCAGCTTCCCTTGACTGGACCAATTCAGTGCCAAATTAGTGAGTCGAACAAGTAATAAATGCCTCACCACTCTCTCAATCTCATGATATCAACATCGTATTCCCAAGCGTCACATTCCAGTGCCCTGCCGATCCAAACCTAAAACATCCACCCAAGCCACTCCCACAAACGTACCTACATCCGAAAGGTCGTCCGTTCAACGCGAATTAAACTTTTCTCGCTTAACGGAAGAGGCAAAAGAGTTGCCACATTTAGTATCCGCGATGTCTGGCAGGCAATCGCGGGCTATTTTTGGGTAGTTGTGTGGGGGTCTGTGGAGGACGTAGTCTACTTCTAGAATTCACTTTACACGATGTGGTGATGGCCAAGGACCTAAGACGTGATGAACTGCATTTGAATTTATACTGGAGACTGGTGATATCATAGTCATCTTGATCGGAAGAGAGGTTGGCATGGGAAAGAATGGGTCGTGAAATCCTTGATTGAAGATAAATAAGTGAGACATCGTGTTCTGTTTGTCTCAGCATCATCAATCCAGTCTCTACATTCTGCCGAGACATACTATATTTGACCAACACTTCAGCCCATCATGAACAAGATCTTGCTCGTTCTGGCCCTGGCCTCTGCTGTCACGGCAGCTCCTCTCAGCGACTACGAGAAATGCCAAAAGACCTACAGTGCTTGCATCGAGGACAAAGTCTCCGACGTGATCTGCAAGTGTGATCTTGCTTACTGCGTCGGCGAGGTCAACGCTCGCACCGAAGAGTTCTGCTCTTCAGCAACCGCCTCTCTCGCGTACCCTTCCGCCACCAAGATCCCCGGAGGCTGCAACCCAGCTCATCCTGGATCATGCCCTCCTTCATACTTCAGCAGAAACGGTACCGTCCCTATCACCACTATCACTCTTGTTCCTGGTGGCTGCAACCCTAAGCACCCTGGATCTTGCCCTACTGGTCACTCTACCAAGACACACAAGCCACCCGCCAAGACCCTTACTTCTGTGCATCATGTTCCTGGACCTTGCGAGAAGGGCAAATGCCACCCAGCCCCCTCCTCCCAGCCACACTCTGCCAAGTCCAAGACACACCTCCCTCCTACCAAGACTCCTGTCCCCCACGTGCCTGGTGGCTGCAGCCCAGCTCATCCTAAGATGTGCGCTCCCGTCCATCCCCCTCATCCCGTTCTCACTGGTAGCGCCTCCCACCCTGCCCCTGCCCCCACTGGTCATGGCCACGAGGGCTCTGATGACACTACCTACCCCGACCCCACACCCATCAAGGGCAAGACCTGGACCATCAAGAACCTCACTCGCTACTGCGATGCAGACGAGGAAGGCTGCGACTACAATTTTGCTATCGAGGCTGATGGCAAGACTGAGCACTGCACTATCATCCGCGATCCTGGCTCTGGTTCTGCTACCGAGAGCTGGAGCAACGAGCCTTGCAACGACAAGTCTAACTTGACTGTGTCTTGGGGCTATGTCACTGAGCCAGGCCCTGCTTTCGCTGTTGTTACTGTTGTCAAGGGCAAGATCCTTGCTTGGTTTGGCGTCGCGGATATTAATGGACAGAAGGATACTCCTTCAAGCCCCTTCGGTTCTGGAGATTATGGCAACCTCGGACCTGAGCAGGTTTACACTTACTAAATCACTTGAGCCTTTCATGCCTCAGGATAAGTTTTTCATCATGGATTACACTTTTCAGGCATTATGGCCTTCGGTGAAAAGGATATACTAGAAGTCACACAGGATTAGGCAATCACGACAAGGAACTCAGGTGGATTTTAATGGTAGTATAGATTGATAGATAATTCATCCTATAATAGAATACAGTATCAAGGATTGCTCTCGCTCATGCTATCTACACAAAAGTGATGTCGTTTTGCAAGGCCAGAAGAGGCGTATAAAATATGTCTTGATCTGATGAAAGAAATGGGGTATGAATGTGTGACCCCGAGCTTAGTAATGCTCCCAACTGATGACAATGGATATTATGTTTTGTTCTGTGCGTGGTCTCACTGAGCTCTTGGCTGTTCATGTTGTTGTGGATGCTGAAGCTGCTGTTGCTCCTCAGTCTAGAATAGTGGCTTGAGATCTTTGTGTAGACGGGTCACGGTTGGGTGCCCAGACCATTGATGTGTATGTGTAAGAATCGGAATCGTGATGTCGTGAAGGAGAAGGTTTGCGGAGTAAAAGTCTAATTTTGAGAAGGAAGCCCCGCCCTTGTGGATCGAGGTAGATAAAAGAAGGACATTTAGGTTTGAGGTAGGCAGGCATCCATCGTAGCCAAAGGCCAGATATTCCGAACAGTAGGCCCTGTCATCCCTGCCGCAATCAAATGTCGATGAGCTTTCCCATGGGACAGTGTATCTTGCCGGCAGGATGGCAGTCTGGTTGAAGGCTGGGAGTCGAACGTTCGATGTCGAAGAAGAGTTCGTCGCAACCCTCGACAGAGACAGCGTACATCTGGCGAATCATCTCTTCTTGCTCGGAAGTCGCACCGTTGCTAGAAGTACTCCCTGACCTGTCCGACTCTGACTCATCCATCTTGTTCGTGGCTTGAGCTGCCTTCTGCTCGAACAACCACTTCAAGTGTTTCTCCGCCTCCTCATTGTCTTCGGCTTGTTTCTCGAGGGCTTCGAGAGCAGAAGGGTGACTGTCAATCAAGTCGAATAGGTAACAACGGGCAGCTCTCTCGGACGGCGTGCCCATGCCCAGTGTCTCCTCACGGCGTTGCTTGATCTCCTCCAGTTCTTCCTTCGTGTAGTGATGGGCAGTATACTCCTCGAACTTTTTGTATTCCACGAAAGGCTGGATGGCCGCGGCAGGGGTCTTCTCTCTCTCCCTCAGCTTCCTCTCCTCATTATCGCGCTTGACCCTTTCATTGTAGGCATCCAAGGAATCCTCATCGTATATGAGCGGGTTGGGGTTGCCAAACAGCCAGAAGTGGTCGATTTCCTTCTGGAGCGCCTCCTTGCCGAGAGTCAGCTCGACAAAACTCTTCAACGGCTTGGCAGGCCCGGCAGCCAGCATCTGCGTCGCGTAGGTGGTGAAATCCTTTCTCACGATGGTGAGGGTACCCTGCTTCTCGATCCAATCTTGTTCAAAAGGATAGGGGTCATCGGGGAACTTGTTCAGGTCGTAAATGGGCTGAAGTCGGCGCGCCAAATCCAGTTCCTTCGGCTTGAGGCTTCGAGAGTTAGGTATCCCTTTGATGCCAGCCTTGATGTGAGTCTTGAAATACTCGTCGACCCGTTGCAGCATCCTTGCCTCAAGGTGGATTTCTCTCATGATCTCGTCGTCGGTCATCAGCATCTTCGGAACCATGAGTCCTGTCACGGGCTTATGGACGTCGTCGTAGGCCGGATCGAGGAATGTACTGTAGGTTGTCGAGTCCAAGTATCTGACCCGGACCTTGTAGGCTCGGGAAGTCTTAGCCATTCGGCCAAGGTTGAGGGAAGGCTTGGGGAGTCTGACACCCATGTTTGCGGTTGGCTCGGTGTTGGGATGCAAGTGTGAACTTCGGTCAAGTAGAAGATAGAATTGGGCGACGAAGAATGAATGAGTAAAGTAAGGAGTCGAATACTGCTGTCTTGGTTCGTTGTGGGCCCAGATGGATAGAACGGGATTGACGGTGGGTTAAAGTAGTAGATGGTTGAGTATACTTGATACAATGAACTTGGTAATCAAGTGCTGATGAAGTGAAAGTGGTTGAGGCAGGGGTAAAAAGGAAGTAGTGAAGGCAAGTGATGGAAAGTCAGGTAATAGAGTTCGCGGCTCAAGTAATCGAACAGCAGTGGGAAATGAACAGATGGATTGAAAGGAAGAGAAAGAAAGAATGGTCGAGGAGGGGCAGTGGAGATTTATAGGCACTGCCAGGAAAGCTTAATTAGTCAGGGGACTCGAAAATCTTGCTGCACATTCTTTCTCACAATGTACTTCAACGTATATGGCAGTGCCAGATTTTTGATTGGTGATGAAGCCTTCCGTAAGTTTTGGCCTGCTCCTCTTTGATGCCTCTGAGTGGTTGAAGGTAAGAAGTCGAGGGGATGTCTTGAACCTTGCATATTCTTTATCAATGTAAAATCTGACCCCATTGCGTGATAAAAACTTAATATGGCTACGGTTTATGGTGGTGTCTAAGTTCCGCGTATTAGGCAAGGCAGCAAGTACCTCATAGACTTGGACAAGAGAATGAACAGGACATCGAAACGAGTTCAGACATCTTGTGAAAGACTGAATAGTGCAGTGTTCATACGAGAGCTGGTTATCATGTTCTTAGTGCTATCTCGGCTTTAATCTTTTTTCGCGACTCTGTTATGTTCCTCCTGGCCTCAGATACATTATCGCTGTCCGATCCCCAAACAGGATTCCTCGCCAGGAAGCTTTCCGAAATTGTGACTCATATTGTCCCGGTCATGCTTGTTCTACGCATTTCTAGAACCCCCGTTTGATGGCTGGTAAGATAGTTCCTAAAACACATGCCGTCACGGGACATGAAAAACTTGAGAGTCATGTATTGAATTCAATTTGAGTTCCTAAAAGTCAGTGCTCAATTCCTACCGTTCAGATCAACACAACGAACAACAGCAGATATGGACCTAATCCTAAAGAAAGTTCAAGTGCAAGGGATTGCA